ACATTATAACAAAAACTTTGGCTGAAATGTCACAAATGGATAGAGTTGTGGCACATTACGGTATAATTACTCTATTGTTCTCTATGTGGGAGAGTCAGAATCTATATTACAGTATCAGTAGTAGCTAGGGCAAAAGCGGAGGACTGGATTTGCCCCAGAATATTTAAAGGAGAAGGACTTAAAGGAGCTTCATTCCTTATGGCTCTCCATCTTCCCTTGCATACAGATTAACAAAGGGCATCTATACAGGATAAAATGGGGAGCCAGTGCTTCATGCATCAATCATCCCAAACAGCCTTGTCAACCATCTCCTCCCATTCCATGTTGGGAAAGTTATAGGATAGTCAGGGCACAACCATTCCAGCAGAGATACCTGCAACCACAGCTTTGCTGTATCCTCAGCATCTTCTCCCACACTTTAAAATTGCATTCCTCCCATATTGAGCATAACTGAAGCAGATGATATCTTAAATATACATATTTCTCACTCTCTGCCTTAAAATATTCTACATGTTTTCTCTTCAAGACACAAAGTTTAAAAAGCTTCAAGTAAAAACTAATATACCGTACAATATATTCAGAGCAACAGACATTAAGAGTGATGTTATTAAACACTTCCTTTTAGGCAATTATTTGTGAAATATCAAATGCAAAGCAGACGGCTTTTTGTTAGGAATACAGTCAAGCTACTGAGTGATGACCTAACAGTCCTCACTAATTCCTCACTTAAGTAGAAAGAAATTGATGTTCATGATTTTAAATTAGTACAAGGAGCAACTAAAAAAAATTCAAAACATAATTTCAGCTTTCAACCTGGCTATTAAAGTAATGTTCTTTTCTTTCAACAATAGTCAATACAAGGAGAGATATTGTGAAAAATGGGAGGTGTTTTTTTCTGAAAAACCAACCAACCAGAACTTATCCTGATTTGTGATAGTTACATGAACATCTCTAAGAAAAACTGAGCACAAACTTCCGGTTGAGAGCCACTGTGAGCTAAACATCCCTTTTTGCAGCGGGATGGTGTTATGACAGAGATTGGCATGGGATGCAGAATCCTGGCTGCCGAAATGCTCTCTGAATTAAGGAGAGATCTTTGAGGTAGCCCACATGACTCCGCACAGCCACTCCTTGTGAGTAAACTGCAGGAATCGTGGTTTCACAGTTTGCCTATGGGTCAAGCAGCTGAGAGTCAAGAGAGGAAGCATCTTTGCTCACAGTTGTTAATGCAGCCTTTTTAAAGGACATTAAGCTCGACCAAGCCTCACTTCTTAATCACTTTGGATTTGTTTTTTTTCCTGCTGCTTTAAAAGGATTAAGACCCTTCAGAACGGCAAGTTATATTGTATTCACTAAGTGAGTCATCTTCTCCTTAGGGAAAGAACTTTTAAATTTAAAACTTAATACAATTTTTATTACTTTTTGAAAAATATTACTTTTTGGATTAAACAGCAAAAGGGTGCTTAGAATATGGGCTTCAGAAAGCTTAACAATGGATTAAGGGCTCAGACAGACTTGAAATTATAATTTTAAGTGCCCACAAAAGCTTTGAATTAACTAGAAAAAAATTCCCATGGGAAAAATAGCAATTGTTTTGAGTTTTTTTGTGATAAGGGAACTTTGAAAGTTGGACACTAGGGAGCTAGAGGAAAGAAAATGAAGCACAAATCTATAATACAAATTTGGGAATATTTGTCTGCCAAGCTTCTTGACAAAATATACGAATTTCTTGACAAGATTTACATAACATGTTGTAATGAAATTACAGAACAATAACAAGTTGCAACAGATGATTTTGAAATTACTTTGAAGGAGGTCTTAAATGTAACAAGTAATGAGAAAGTTATGGAGAAAGATATGGGCACACAACTGGAACCGAGGGATGACTTATTCCCAAAAAGAGATATACAAATATTGAACCAGGAAACTGACCTGGATATATATATTTACAAAAGAGCTCTGTTAAGGTTCTGAAGGATTTTATTAAAAGTGACAAACAAAAGGGCAAACTTTACTTATTGGATATACAGAAGAAATCTCCTAAAGTTCTGAAAGATTTTTGACTTGAAACACAGATGAACAGAAAACTAGCTCTGGGATTTTTTTTTGAAGGGGTTAAAAAATATTTTTAAAAACTCAGGGAAGGAATATAAGGTTGGCTTATTTGACCAGGGCTAAAGGAGAAAATCAGTTGCATCTGGTTGCCCTTACTGGACTTTTGCTGACAAAGAATGACTGACAAAGCATTTGGATTTTATTTCGTTTTTTTAATTCAATAAATGAGATATGGGGTGAAGAAAAATTATGTTGTATTTAGAGATAGTGATAAGCTATTAAACTTGTCTTTACTTACTGGGATAAAGGGGGAAGCTATTTCTTTCTTTTTTCTTTTCATTTTTCTATTTTTCTTTTTTCTTTTTCATACTTTTTTCTTTTCTTTTGTATTTTTCTGTTTGTATTTTTTGTAGCCTGTACTGGCTTTTATTCTTTTCATTTATAATTCTTATTAAAATTATTTGGAAAAAGAAAAAGAAAAACTAAGCACAGAAATTCACAAGTCCTTCAGTTGATTCCGGAAATAGTACCACCAGATTTCTAAAATTGAACTAGATTAAAACTGACTCTTTATATCAAACTTTTCTGGTCTCTTTTTCTTGAAAAGAAAAACTAAGGTTAAAGTCTCCCGTGCCCCACCCTGTCCTGCCATATCTGCACTGTTTTTTGTAAGCAACCAAATGAAATCTTACACACATACGCACACATATAAACCCCTTTGAAAATGAACTACCGGTCCCTTGGAAACTTGTTATCTAATCTGCTGTAGGTCAAAGTTAACCTTGCTTTATTATCTGTAGGCGTTGACATTTATGCCAAGTGCCACTTTACTCAAAAACAATTTGCATGGTTTTATTTTAAAATGAGGTACTGTATGTAACCTTTGTCTGTATCCTGAGTATTCTTGTTTGGTTTCTACCTGTACAGATTATTAGTTACTGATTAAACTTAGAAGAAACAAGGATTGTTAATAACTGCTTTGAACCATGGTCTATAAAAAAAAAGAGGATCACCTAAGTTAATACTGGTAGCAAAACATGTTTTTAAAATAAAATCAGCTGTAAAACAATAAACAGGGAATGGCCATTAATAAGAATTAATCATTCACTTTAGGTGATTATCTAAGTATAGGATTGGCTTCAATAACTGTTTTTGTCAAGCTGTAGTAAGAACGAATGCAGAACTTTTTCAGAGGTAGTCCCTCAGGCCAGACAAGACCAAAATACATTTTGTGCAACATGGAACAAAAGTGTTCCTCAGATAACAGAAATTTCGGGGGGGGGGACTTGTTAGCTCCTATGTTCTGAATGTGTCTGTCTACGGTGGGAAGATGAGTGGAAGAGAGAGACAGACAGCATGAGGTTGCCTACAAGTTGTTTTTGTAAAAATAAAAAAAAAATGCACAAGAAAAGAGTCAGTCAGGTAAGACTTACAGTAATCAAATTTGCAATAATCAAAATGTCTACTTTGTTTATTCCATTCATTAAGAAACTACAGCCTACTGGTAGTTTCCAACATCAACTAACAGTAGTCTTGGTAACCATCCTTTGTGGCTTCATGAATATTCTCATATTTACTGCTGCCCAGAACTCTCTTTAATTCCTGTGCAAGAATTACACAATCTCTAATCTAATCACCACCTTTACAACTAATTTAATGTTGGGCAGTTAACAACAAATAAAATAGAAAAACACCTTGTAGAGAAAGATTAGTGTTATAGAGCATTCCATGGCTATATGCTTCATTGGAGAAAATCCATGAAGTTCTCCTTCTGAGAATGCCATCTGAACTATCAGAACATCAAATGCTGATCTGTTTGCATGTGCAAAGGATCACAATGTGATCTCATCAGCTAATACACACAGAGTCTTAGTAACTTCCAGCTTCTCAATGGATTTTACTGTGAGATATCAACATGTACATATGAAACAGCTCTAGAGGAAACTAAAACTGATCTGTTGCTATTGATTTATGGGCAGCGTACAAAACAGGTCTATGTGCTATGCAAGGAAAAGTCACATAATACTTTCTTATAATAAGAAACTGCATCCTGCTCCCTTCTCCTGGGTTTATCATCATACCGGTTTCATACTAGTTCACTTCTGATTCCAATTTGTAGTAAATGCGTGCAAGAAATAATTCCTTGGTTACATTATATTTGAAAAGATAACCAGTTTATGGAAGGACTTTATTATCTGGGTAAGGGCTGGGGTACCTCCTAATAATACAAAAGTGTGTGCAGATCAAACTGTGTCTGCACTTCTGCAATTGTTTTTGCTTGAAGCTGGCTAATTAATACCATCTGACTCTGGAATTCCCTGGTAGGCTCCCATTCAGATACAAACAAGATCCAACCCTGCTTAACTTCTGAGTCCTGAAAAGGTTGGCCAGTTGCGGAGGCAGCCTTAATCAAGCCTAACCACAATCAGTTGGAGAATGGAGAAGAAACAGGGGTAAAAGGAAGAGACATAGTATAGGAGGAGGAAAAAGGACAAGGGTAGCAAGATTGAGATCCCTGTGAAATTGAAACGAATACCTGGCAGATGACTGGACAAAATAAGGTACAGTATGCAGAACTAGAATTCCTGAGGGCCAAAAGCCAGAACAATCTAATAGTTCAAATCAAATCATGAACTGCAAAAATATATGTGACTGTCTACAACAGCCAGTAATTTCATATGATCAAAAGAGTTATCCTACCCCCCCCCCAAAAAAAACAAAACCAGGAGCAAAAAGAAATTGTATGTGCAAAACTGGAGATGAGAACCTCAATAATAGAAATCCTTCCTTCTTTTCAAAGAATTGCCAAGTTGGATAAAATTATAGCAATACTGAGAAACACCCTTTGAACACAATGTTCTTGTTAACATGAATAACCATGCTAATATTTAGATCTGTAAAAAATCATGAAGTCTGTATAATTTCATACAAGCAATTTATATTACCTGTATTTTTAGGTCCATCTGCATAGACTGGTCCTGGAGGTGGAGGAGGAGCATTCTGCCATCCATATGGTGGGTAACCATTGTAGCCTGGTTGACCAGCTGGATATGGCCCTGTAGGCCCCGGTTGATAGGCAGGATATGGACCAGGACCTGCTGGTTGTTGAGTATATGGTGGGTAAGGGGCAGTTGGGCCCGGGCCAGGATATGGTGGAGGATTTTCGTAATTCATGTAGGACACTAAGTGTTTCCTAAAGATACAGAAACAGATTTTACTTTCAATTGTTTTCTTCAAATAAGGAACATCCATTTTAATCTCTCATGAGCAACCTGCTTAATCTTACATTTCATTTGCAGCTGGGGAACCATTATGTACACATCGCCATAAAAGAACATACACTGTCATCAACTGAAGTATTCTTTCTAAATCTCAAAGTAATCATTTCCTTTTTTTCTATGTAAGTCAGATCACACCTACCACCAAGCAGAGCCGCAGCAGATGCACCAGACTTCTTAGAGCAAGGGGAGGCAACCTGCGGTTCTCTGGCGCTCCATTTTCAGCCCCATGAGAACCTTGGAATGAATGGGCTGAAATATTCAGACCTGATTTACCGAGGGGAACTAAATGGTGGTGGCTAAGAGGCAAAATAGATGCTTTCAGTACTGTGGGGTTTTAAAGTATCCTGTATCCCTTTAAAATCCTGAACACTCTCCTCCAAAAAATTGGGCCAATTTTTACCACTGGGTGAGATTTAATTATCAAAATACTTAAGGCAACCATTTTGCTTCATGTCATACAACAACCTTTGCAGTCCCCAGGCAGAGCACAAAGACCAAGCGTGGCTGTTATGGCAAAAAAGACTGCCCTTCCCTGCCTTATGGCAAAGCATTCCAGAAGCATACCTACTGTAACAGTTATTACTGTAAGGAACTAACCAGTGGATCTCTGGAGTATCTGGATGGACCTTGCTGCCTTCTTCAGAATGATGCAATGATTGCTCTCGGGAATCTAAATACCTCAATCTAACAATACTTCTTCAAAAATGCACATTCTGGGCAAGATGGCTTGAAAGCCACTATTGCAACACAACTTCCAGAGTCACCTGGCCAACATGATTTCGCTTCGCTCTGAGGAAGGACTATTAGACGAGGCGATGAAAGGCAAGATAGCCTATGCTAGCACAACTGTTAGAATGACAAGTTGAAGGAGAGGGTAGGCAGTGCCATTACTTATGGATGTGATAAGCTAGAAAAGTACTGTATTTAGGCAATTCTGATAAGGGTTGTGTATAGCCTCCAAAGCTATACCCAAGTGAACCAGTAGCCTATGGTTGGAATAAAATGTTGCAGTAAGTGAACATTACATATTGCTCAATTCATTTAGGTCACAGAATTGTTTGATTTAGCCTAGAATATTGAAGATAAGTATAAAGCAGAGATTGACCACATTTTTCCACTGAGGGTTGACTTTACTGTGTTCTTCTGAGGGTACAGAGGACATGGTGCTGATAACACAAGTGGGCAAATCCAAAACTGTATTTCCTGTTTTCTCTTTTTTGAGGCTGGGAGGAGCTGAAGAAAAAGTAACTGCATTTAACCTAATAAGCCCTAAAGCTCTTATTGCTGCTCTCAAGCAATAATGGTAAATGTTAGCTTTTGTTTACACACTTTGTATCATTATCTCAAGAGGAAGAACTTGAGTCATTCCCCAAGGTACAGTACTTGGTTCCTCTGCTTATTTAAAAAATCACCTTGCTTAGATATTCGTTAGTATGAGGCAATTTTTCCATGTACCCTTGATGCTGTTAGAGCAGCTTTGTTTTTGCATAGCTTCTCCAATTGGCTCAAAATCCCTAGAAGCAACTCCCATACCCAAGAAGGTTACTAGCACCAAAAAATTTCAGTAAGTGCTTCCCAAGGGAAAAGTATTCAATCCATACCACAGCAGTGATATAAAAACAGCTATATTTTAGAAACACAACCCTGGAAGGCCAATGAAGAAGACTGGCTGGTGATATATTAAAAAAGACGAATTTTTTTTTATTAGAACAAAAGCAGAATTTCACCCATTTCAAGCACCGTTTACCCACCACACAACACTGAATGAGAGAAACAGGTATGGGAGCCCCAAATGAAGATTTGCATCTAATTCCATTTTCTGTCATCTTGATAGTATACCGATTTATGTTGTTTTCATCATTACAGTAGTTGTTTGACCAATGGTTACCTAACAAGTTAGGTTACATTTGAACAACTCATACTTAGCTACCAGGCAACATCAGCAACTGATAATAAACAAGAGACAAGATGAAGGTAAAATCTTATCTGAGTTGAGCTCAACTCCTGGAGAATTCTGGGGACTTCCTGTCCAGGTAGTTTTCTTGACAGTAACGTAGAAGTACTTGATCACTTTTTTGGTCTGGCAAGCTTTTTGACTTCCCAGCTGTCATATTTCTTGGTGGACTTCCACCAAGTACTAACTAGGTCCAACCCTGCTTAGTTTTTTAGATAATCCAAGGTCAACTAGATGCTGTCTCCTAATGTAGTTTTAATAAACCAGGCCTCTAAATGAACAATGATGGGAACAGGAATAGGGTACTAGTCTTCCCCTACTGGAAACTAGGCTAGAACAACGGTTGGGACAGAATTATTGCTGGAGTAGGTTTCATACCGATTTTTGAAGTAGGATCTGAGTCTGTTTCAGAAAAATAATAGGAATCTATAAACATTGCGCTTCCCATCAGTGCTGGGAGGCCTCTAGTGGCATGGAGGAAAAAGATAGACTGTTTCCAAACTGGACAAATTATTGACCTTGCTGAATTTTATTTTCTGGTTTTAATTTTGTGCTTAGCTTTAAGCTTTGGTATCTCACATATGGATGAGGCAACTTTATGTATATATGAATGGAATTAATAGATGAATTTATGCAGTATGCTATAACCAGATTCTCCCTCTTTTAATCATTTAATTCATTTTTTAAAAATTATCTAATTCTCATACCACTTCTATCAAATGAGTTTTAGTTAATCAAAGCAGTAACATTTTTTTAAAAAGCATACTATTTCAAAGTAGAGCATTTTGGAAGCATTCCCTCTTGTATAAAAATAATAAAGAAATGCCTTTTCTAAGATACAGCCTACTGCCTATAATTTTAAAGGATATTCATTGTAAAATTTCACATTCTTCTAAATATTTTCTCATTAACCGTTAACCGAATATGTCTTTAGTGGTTAGAAAGGTAAGATTATTAAAATATGCACTCTTAATATTTGGAGCACTATTTAACAAGAAATAGTGCTCTAAAACAAAGTATATTTAAAATCAAACAAAAAATGTAATACCTAACAGATGAAATACAGGGAGGCAGTGAAGGACAGGAAGGCCTGGCGCAATATGGTTCATGGGGTCACGAAGAGTCGGACACGACTTAACGACTGAACAACAACAACAATTTTGTCCATTCTTTAAACCAGTTCTTGTAATGTGGTTAAAAAAGTGTTACCAACTGACCTGTATGGAAAATTCCTGACAAGTTGTTGTTATGGAAAGAAAGGTGAAATTGGGCACATATTTTTATATCGGGAAGTGTTAATATTTTTAGCCAATTAAAAGCCCAGATTTGTTTACTGCATAAAAGAAAGCTGTGAGAAAGGGTAGATGCTGCTATTGTTTCTTATCATTAGGGAGAACACCATGCTGCTATAAATGGGTTCTGGAATAGAGAGAATGTAAGTGGATTTCTATCTCTGTTTTAGCAACACAATTCTGGGAAATATGTTAGTTTAAGTACTGAGTTTCCTAATTCAACTACATTATTCCTTTTTTGATTATAATTATAACATGATTTATGAGTGGTAATTTGGTGTGCAGCTAAAGAATTTGACAGTACTTGGGACTGAAAAAAGAAGACACTAACTGTATCAGTCCTCATCTATTTGTACTTTTCCTCATACGTGAATTAGATCGCTTTGCATTTTAATAAACACAAACTCCTTTCTGTTTCAGCAACTAAGAGAAATTGCCTTCAACTCCTCATTTTTAGAAAGCTGAAAATATTCAACCCAAGTTGCTGGTTTGCAATTTAGTTAATCTTAATAAAAATGGAGGGAGTGGGGAATTTGCCCAGTACCTAGCACCAAGACAGAAGAGAAATTGTCTGTTTTCAGTCAAAGGGCTGGTGGCAATATACAAATCACTGGCCTTGACCAAGGGATGAGATCTGGAAAAGCCCTATAGTCTTCAACCATTTGTTTGTTAGACCACATGGCTTTCGAAAGATGAAATCAAGAGAGTAGAAATAGGTGGACCTTCCTTGACAGGGAGTCCTAGGATCAAAATGATCCAATAGCCCCTCTCTGCATTTCAGAGGGCAGTAGCACCTGAGGAAGTGCACACAAAATGAGTCCAGGCATACCAAGAGATTAGAGCATTTTTTTTTCAAGGATTAATCCATGTGAAGATAAAGAAACATGCCTGAATAAGATTGTGGAATCTTGAGTTTTAGAGAAGACCTTCTGCATTTGAACAACAATACCAGCTAGGAGGGAGTGCTAGAAAAAGGTAAATTTTCATGTAGCCCCCAGGAGGAAACCCTAACCTAGAGAGCAATTTCTACACATACAAAGCACAGAAATAGCTGAAAAATAACCACATTTATTTAAGGAGAAGACAATATACAAAAAAAAAATACTTTAATGACCAAGTATAAAATATATACAAGGAATTTGTCTTCGG